TCTTGTTGTCAAGGCGACTTGGTAGAACGCACCTAGTCCGAAGTTGTCTGCCATAGCAGTTGTCATGATTTCAAGCATCCGACAGTCGACTTGGTACATTCTCAAACGTTTCACCGGCATCGTAGTCGGCATCATCAGCGAGTCTTGCTACAGACTCGTCAAAGAGACAAGTCAAGTCAATCCGTCGACAAACGTTCTGCCAAAATGGTTACACAATCAATCCTCTTTCTGTCCTGGTCTATCTATCTACTCTTTTCCTTCTAATCCCACTCCAGCCACATCACAACTTCTCACTTGCTCACATTTTCCACTCGTCAAAATGTGCGCCTTTTTGTGGCCTCATCACACCAGCTCTTCTATTCTTTCGATCATATAATCCCACTCGGGCCTCCAATCCGGATCTCCGTCATGATCCAGTAGTTCAGTCTCTCATCTTTCCGTTTGAGAATGTACCAAGTCCCCCGTATGATGCTGGGAGTCATGACAACTATTGTTGAGTTTTCTTAACTCTTTTGCTTGGATTTTGTTGTGACGATGTTATCTCGCTCGGATGATGTTCGTCACATGACGGACAAAATCTTGCCACATTTTTACAGGAATCGAGTGGAATTGCCTCGGAAACAGCGTCACCATGAATGTTTCAGTAAATCCAATCGGCAGCTGGTCAAAAGAAATCAGTCGCTGGTCGTCTTCTGGTGGAACCGACATTCGAATCTCTTCACGCAACACTTTCACTCGAAATGGAAGTTAGCTCAACAATTATGAAGCGAGAGATTCCTCTAAACTCAACTTTTCTTCGAGTGAGCAGAGCTGACGTTTGCATTGAATTGCACAGAGACTTGCTTTCCCAAAAGATGTTCTCATCCCCGCTGGACTGGATTGCAGCTTCGACCTCGCCTCATTTGGTTTTACCAGCACCCTCAGCGGGACTCGAACCATGACTTTGCGGCGTTTACTCTCGAAACTTCACTCTATCACGAGTGTCCTTAGTTCACGGGGCAGATGTGAATCTCAAGGAAGGCCTGGCCTTTTTCCCATACAAACATTCTTTGGTGGGATTGTCATAGTTGCCATAACAATCGACTAGATTACTTATTTTTCATTTATCTACAGATTTTCCAGACTACAAGGAAATATATCTCCCATAACTGATGTCATGTTAGCCTCGAAACTCTGCATACAACCGAACAATTCTTGACTTTGTGTTTGTCAATTTGACACTTTGACAAGAATGACTTCCAGTTCTGACAATGTTCGTCATTTTGTGAACGAATGTTTAGTCCGTTTCGGCCCGAAGCGAGGGAGGATGTCTTGTGGACTGCATCAACAAGAAGGTCGGATTAACTCCAAAAGGCTTCAGTGCAATGCCAATAAGCTGTCGTCTTCTCGTGAAGTAGAAATTCATTTCTCTTCTTCATTCACTTTCATACGAAATGGCAGTCCTTCTAACTTTATAAGTGGGTTCTTGAGACTACCGGCAGATGTTGTGGTTAAGGGTTACATTTGACGTATTTTCATTTAAATTGACCAACGACTGGTAGACTCATTTTTCCTCAATCCATTGACCGGGCCACAGATTGGCCTTAACTACCACTTTGCCCAGTTTATATGAAGTATCCTTAGGGAGACAAGACTCGGATCCATTCATCGAATTACTTACACAAAATAGTCGCATCTTTTCGTTTATAAGCCGGTTTTCAAGACTACCAATAAATATTATTCGCACTTAAATATGCTTTAGATATCACCAGTAAATCAGTAGTATGAGATGTATTCACCAAATTTCGTTTAAGATGATGAAGGACTGGTAGAAGAATTTTGCCACATCAGCAAATATAGGTTTGCTTCATCGGCAATTCCACCAAAGAATGTGTTATGACAAAAGGCATGGCTTTCCTTGAAATTCACATCTGCCCTGTGACTCAAGGGCACTGGGTTCGATTCCCGCTGGGGGTGTTGATAAAACCAGTTGATGCGAGGTCGAAACTGCAGTCCACCCCAGCCGAGATGAGAACAACTTTTGGGAAATCAAGGCTATGTGAAATTGAATGGAAACTCATCTTATTGTGGAAAAATTATTCCAACTTGAACAAAATTGGGTGAATAAATCTCATATTAACAATAAATAAAAAAAATAAGTTGAATTCAGCCCATTTAGATAAAGATGATCCACGGGCTGGCAGCTGAAATGTCCCACAATCCCGTGAGTAGACCTTGCGTTTCTCATCCATACCACATTCTTTGGTGGGATTGTCAACGAAAAAAAAGTTTTATTTTCTACAGCAATCGAATGGGTAACTAGTTTTTGGCTTATAACCGGCATCTCGGGACTACCATTAAGTCGGCAACTTGTCACTTTCAACAAATTGGACTGGATTGTTGCAAGTAGTATCAGCAGTAGTCTGAGTGGCTGCTGTAAGTGTCAGGTACGCCA